TCCTTCAAAGGAGAAGCAGAAGCCCAAACCAGAGAGGTGGCAGCCTGAGGAAGAAACAGCCTGACGCTGCTGACTTTGAAAACGGAAGCGGGCAACAAGCCAAGGAATGTGGGCAGACTCTAGAAACTGGGAAAGGCAAGGGAAAGACTCTCTCTTAGAGTCTCTGAGAGAAACACGACCTTACCAACATCTTGATGTTAGCCCCAAAGCAACAACAACAACAACAACAACAAATCCAGTACCATCAAGTCAATGCTGATTCATGGTGACCCCAGAGCACAGAGTAGAACTGCTCCTTAAGAGTTTCCGAGACTAACTCTTCATGAAAAACAGATAAGCTCATCTACCTCCAAAAGAGTGGCTGGTGAGCTTACCCACTGACTTTGTGGGTAGCAGCCCCATGCTTAACCACAGCACCACCAAGGCTCCAAGATCTAGCACAGTGAGCTCCATGTTGGACTTTGGATCTATAGATCCAAAGAATCTGTGTAAGGCAAAGAATCTGTGTCATTTCAGGCCACTAGGTTTGGCGTAATTTGTGACAGCAGTCTTAGGAACTAATACCAACAATCACCTAAAATAGCAACTGGATAATCCAGTAAGCAGGGAGTCAGGCCCCCCACAGGTAGATAAAGTTCCTCTGACGATACTCTTAGAACTTCCCAGTAATGTTAGCTGGCCACATGCTCAGTCATGGATATATGCTGATATTTTTGTGAAAATTCCCTCCGGTACACATTGTGCTGAATCACAATCATATTCTCATTTAAGCCTCACAGCCCTGGAGTATGGGGAATATCATAACCGTTTGGCAGATAAAGTAACCCAGGCTCAGATGACAATGATGGTAGAAAGTATAGTTAATAAACACTTTTTTTAAAAACTCACTTCCATCGAGTTGATGCTCACTCACAGCGACCCTATAGGACAGGTTACACTTAACCTTGTGAGTTTCTAAGACTGTAGCTCTTTACAGGAGTAGAAAGTCTCATCCGTTTCCAGAGGAGCAGTTAATGGTTTTGAACAGTTGACCTTTCGGTGGATCCCTGCTGGAATAGGGGATTATGTACAGGGCTGGTAGCCACAAGGTCAGCAGTTCAAAACCACCAGCCACTCCAAGGGAGAAAGATGAGTCTTTCTACTTTCATAAAGAATTACAGTCTCAGAAACCCACAGGGGCTGGTCTACCCTGTCCTGTAGGGCCACTTTAAGTCCACATTGACTGGTGGCAGGGAGTTTGAGTGAGGCAATAAATCCCGAACACTTACTCAGAGACACCCACTGTCCTAAGCACTCCGTGTGTGTTAGCTAATTAATTCTCCCAACAGTCCTAACCTCTGATTTTCAGATGAAGAAACTGAGGCACAAGGAGTCTGAATAACTTTTCCTAGACCTTATAGGTGATACATGACAGGGCTGGGACCACGGGCCAGGTCCTCTGAGTACCGCCATCAGTGCCCTGGGGAAGAATCTCCGCACTACCCCTCATCACTGCGGTCATCATCATCATCATCATCATCACTGCCAATTATTGACAGCAGCTCGGGGCCCTGGAACTGAGCCCAGCCCTGCTATCCCCTCTGAGCCCCTGCAGTGTCTTGCTGGTGCAGCCCTGGCAGCTCTCTGCCGAGCCCCAAGCTCTGTGGCAGGGTTCAGCCATGACCTCACTGGCTAGAGGGTGTCCAAGTGGCAACTTGTCCCTCGGAAGGTCTCCCTGGGCACTGTTTACTAGCAACAGTGATGCGGCGACGTGCTGCCCTCTCACTCAGGCGCTCCAGCCACCGGCTTTCTGTGAGCCTCCGGAGTACTTCGCACAGCACCTTAAAGAGGGGCATGCTCCTTAGCTTCCTTAGAAGCTGGGGAAGCCCAAGGAAGATTCTCTCATGTCCATACAGAGCATTCGGGATGCTCACGCCAATCTGAGTGGCCTTAAACCTGGACTGCTTATTCCTAGGAAGACCTGGTGGTGAAGTAGTTATGTGCTGGACTATTAACTGCAAGGTCCGAAGTTTGAAATCACCAGCTACAACTTAGGAGACCACTGGGCTTTCTGGTCCCATTCACAGTTATAGTCTCGGAAACTCTACTCTGTGACCTCCAGGGTCACTGTGAGTCTGCATCAACCCTCTGGCAGGGAGTTTGGATTGGTTTCTGTTTTGTCTGGGGCTCCTTGCTAAGTCAGCCTCACCGCAGCATCATGCCCAGCCAGCACGTACATTGTCGCCCTCTCTGTAGCCAGCTTGTCCTGAGCCCTGGCCCTGCATCTCCCCCTTTCTGCGCTCCCACCCCCTCAACTCACCATTTGATTTTCCTTAAACCAGGGCTGCTTTCAGGTAAATGATGGAGCTTCTTTCCAGAACCTCCCATGATTCTCTTATTCTGCCTGGTCCTTTCAGGTAGAAGGACCCATGAGTTAGTTTATTGTGCCAACCTGGCCAATAAACACATGTGGGATTAACTGAAGGGCAGAGGGATAAATGGCTCGGTGAGCCTCGCCTTTCTAGTTCTCGGGTCTCTTGCTTTGTGATGGTTGCACCAGGGTGCAGCTGCCTTAGCAGTTCCCTGCTTCAGCTTGCAAGGCTGACTTCCTACAAGACATCCCCAAAGAGAAGCCACAGGGACCTACTCCGATGCAGTCCTGGGTGCTGGAGCAGCCATGTGGAGACCCCTGCCAGTGCTGAGGTGTTTACACATTCATTGACTCGGCTTTCCTCCTGCAGTTGGCATCATTGCGTCTGTTTTGTGAGAGGGAGGAGGACTTTGTGGATTGGTGTTGGACATATGGGTTAATGGGTTAATGTTGAACTTGTGGGCTTGGGCAGCACTGGGGTGGGATGTTTTCTTGATGCGCACTTAATCTTTATATACATGAGTTTATACATGAGTCTCTTATACATGAGTTTCTGTGGATTTGTTTCTCTAAAGTACCCAGACTAATACAACCCAGAACAAGAGGAAGACACACACACACACACACACACACACACACACACCAATGAAGTGGACTGACAACATGGCTGCAACAGTGGGCTCAAACATCACAATGGTGAGGAGGGCCCAGAATGGGGCAGTGTCTCCTTCCGTTGTGCACGAGGCCGCTGTGAGTCAGAACCAAGGTGCTGCCATTGAGTGAAAACCATCCCTCCCCTTCAGTCTGGAGTCCCGTCTCAACCACCTCTGGCTAACACTAGTGGGACCTGTTAGGAGCTTACTCCAAAGCCCACTGCTGTCAGGTCACTTTTAACTCAGAAGGCTGCAGAGCTTTAAGGGAGCTGGCTGCCTCATCTTTCCCCCATGGAGCAGTTAGGGGGTTCAAACTGCTAATCTTTCTTTTAGCAGTTCAGTGCTTAACATACCACCCCACCAGGGCTCTGAGAAGAGTTTAGGGCCTGATGGTGGTACCTGGCTATTTCAGATTTGAGCTCTGCTGAGATACCGCCAGCAAATTGAGTTCAGGCCTGGGAGGGCTCTGGGAGCAAGGAGCCATGCAGAAAAACTCACTGTTCTGGAGTACATGCTGACTCGGGGACAGGGCAGAACTGCCCCTGTGAGTTTCCCAGACTAACTCTTTATGGGAGTAGAAAGCCCTGTCTTCTTCCCAAAGATTGGCTAGTGGTGTTTGAACTGCTGACCTTGTATTTCACAGCCCAACGAGTAATGACTATGCCACCAGGGCTCCTAAAGCTCATGAAGTGTAGAGAAAGTGGGGCCTGGCTGATAGTGCTGAGACTCCATTCAATTGGTGAGAATAAAACTGGCGGGGTGGAGAAATGGGGGGGTGGGAGTTACAGGAATCTGCGTTCTCAGTAAGGATTCTAAAGAGAGGAGCTTTAGGGATGGAGAGGTCCCTAAACTTTCTAGGTCATGAGCCCAGCTCGGTGTAGTGACAGGGCTTTATCAGTCTGTCCTGGGACATGCCAGAGTCCAGTGCAGGGGTGAGCTCCCGGCTAGAAAGCTGATGGATTGATTACCTGCCGCCCCCACACCTCCTGGAAGAGCTTCTCTTCCTCAAATGGGGAGGAAGTGAATCCCTCCCTTCTTCTGGAAAAACAGTTGAATTCAGGAGTTGACCATCTCACCGTAAGATGCTCCTGTAACTGTCTTACTGACTGGGACTGTCCCACGGAGCCCTCTCAGCAACCCTGTAGGCGTTATCCTCCTGGTTGGACAGCTGAGGAACCGAGACTGAACAGCTGGGGCCCAAGTCTCCAACTCCGCGGCTTCATGGCCAGGGCTGGAACCCCAGCAGGCTGACCTCGGAGAACACCCACCCTCGACTACCTCTTGACAACTGATCCGGAGTTGGGTCGGTCGGGTGTGTTCCAGGTGTGTGTTCCGGCAAAGTACTTTCAGGTGCGCCCTGGTCCCAGAAATGGGTCTCCCTTGTCTGTTCTCTCTCGAAATGTCCTCCCGCAGCTTCCACAGTATGCCCCTCCCCCCACCCCACCCTTCTCCCTTCCCCCACAGTAAGGAGACTCCGAAGCTTTAGCTGTAGACTAAAATCCGGGTGGGGCATTCAGATCGAACCTCCAGAGGTTGTAAAATGCGAATTCTGTGGCTCGCCAGGAAAAAAGGGTCACCCTGGATCCGGCTCAACAAGTCTCCCGATCCCCAGGTCGGTGCCATCGGGCATGCCCCCCGCCCCCCCGCTGCGGGACACAGCGCCCCCACCGGGCACTCCGGGGCACCGCCACGCTGTGCGCCCTGCGCGGGGAGCGCGCCCAGCTCTCCCGCCGGGGGCGGCCGACCTCTCCCCGCCGCGGGCCGGCGCAGCGGGTCTCCGCCGCTCTGCCTCGAGAGGTCGGGGAGATCTCGAGCCAGGGCGGGAAGGAGCCCGGCGCTGGGGGCTGCGCGGAGCCGCGGGGTCCCGGACGCGGGCTGGGGCGCAGGCCTGGGGAGACCGCGCCGCGTGCGTCCTTCAGCCCGGCTCTGTGGGTCTGCGGGTCTGCGCCCGGGGCGCCCAGCTTTGCAGAGCCCCGGGGAAAGCGCGCCGCGCTCACCTGCCACCACCGCCGCCGGCACCGGGGATCCGCGAGACAGGGGGCCAACCACCCCGGGCTCCCCGCTGGCCTCCTCGCTTCTGCGAGAGCCGTGGGAGCCGACGGAGAAACCAGAACCGCTGCCGCTGCCGCTGCCTCCTCCTTCGCCGCCGCCTCCAAGTCCCATCCCAGAGCGCTCCCCTCGCTCGCTGGCTGCCTGGGAGGCGCTGGGCGCGGGAGGCGGCGCCGCGGCAAGGGTGGGGAGCCGGCCATGCGGAAGGAGGGGTGTCCTCTTTGGGGATGGGGCAGGCGTCCAGAAGGAGCGTCGGCGCTGCAGCCCCCACCCGGTGGGGCATCCCCTAGATCTGGGCACCCCGGCTGTGCGTTTTGCCCGCTGCCACCTTGCTCGTCCCAGGCTGGCATCAGACCCCCAAGGGTCTCGAACCGCAGGCTCTATGGGGACTTGGCTGAAGAGCCACTCCTAGGTTAAGGGAGGCAGAGGCACGGCCGGGGGTGGGGGTGGGGACCCCGATCCTGAACCTGAGCTTATGATCTGGGGAAGGCATCCATCAATGACAATGGTTAAGAAAAAAAGTGGCGATGAGAATTGAGATCAATGGTGGCAAGTGCCAGGAGCTGTCTTGGCAATGCCAGCTCACCCTGCCAGTGCCAATTAATACTCACAGCGAGCCCACTGGCTAGGGACCAGGCTCCAGAGTGGGGGAAGGGGAGAATGCCAGAGAGCAAGGAGGCGAGGTACTTACCCTGCAGTGAAAGTCTAGTTCAGACAAGACTTTTGAAATTATGGACAAAGCCATTTGCAACTTTCAAGGTAAAGGGGGCGGGGGGGAACCTCGGCTTAGAGGTCTCCCCCTGGCCGGCCGTGGAGGCATGCAGAAGGCAGAAAGAGGGCTCAGCGGCAGGAAACCGAGGGCTGGCTGGCATCCCCAATCTGCAAGTGGCCAGGACCATCTCCTAAAAAGGGCTCCACAAATCCTATCCCCAAACCAATAACCCAAGGCACTGTTCAGGTTTTGACAGGCTGCAAGGAGAGGCAACAGGACTTACGGGTTTCCTAATCTCCTAAAGTACTGGAGTCTGATCCCTGAAGTGCGCTTGGCAGCCTTCGTCTTGCAGCTGTCACTGTTGTTTGATGATAGAGTTGGAATTCTGAAGGATACATTAAAGGCACGTACAAAATCAGTTCTTCAGAAAGCTCAGAAACAAAACACCCACATCCAGTGCCACCAAGTCTAACTCTTAATGACCCTGGACCCAAACTCCACACAAACTCAACCGTCATCCGGTTGGTGGTCCTGACTCATAGTGCCCTCAGGCTTTTGATGCTGTACATCTTTGGGAAGCAGACGTCTCTTCTTTCCCCTGCCACCTAGTGGGTGACCAGCTGGGTTGCCAACAGCAAGATTGGCCAGTCAAACCCACCAGCCACTCATATTCATTACAACAAAACTTTTTTTTTTTTTAGATTTTGAAATTTGCTTTGATATCACTTATGCAAAGTCAGTTAGCTTCAGTATCTTTTTTACCAGAAAGAAGTAAAGAAACCAAACTCACTGCCATCGAGTCGATTCCAGTCATGTCAACCCTGAAGAACAGGGCAAAATGGCCCGTGAGTTTCTGAGACTGAACTGTTTACTAGAGCGAAAGCCTCCTCTTTCTCCCTCTGAGCAGATGATGGTTTCGAATTGCTCAGCTTGCGGAACGCAGCCCAACGCGTAAGCAATATGCCACTGGGGCTCCTATGGGACAGAGTAAAACTGCCCGCAGGCCTATAAATCTTTATGAAAGCAGTCACATCTTTGTCCCTGGTCCTTCCAATTAGTAGTCGGAAGTTAACCATTAGGCCATCATGGCTTCTTTCTGAAAGCCCCGAGAGCAGGTAGTGACAATTCCAGCCATAAAGCAGAGGGTTAACATGTTCAACCCATCTGCATGGAAGAATCTTGGCTAAGGATGTCTTCGCCTGCATCTTAGGCACACGTGTGCTCCTGGGCCCTGCACTGAGCAGAAATTCTAGCGTCTCTGTAGTCTTTGGAGGGAAGTGGGCGGAGGTCAGAAAGTAGGGGCAAGTCTTCAGGAGATGCCTGGTCTCTGAAGTCTTGGATTCCACGGAAGATCATTCTTCCAGAGGCCAGGCCAGTGAAAATCCCTGAGGAGCTGCGAAGCTGAGTTGCTGTTTATGGAAACTTAAGATTTAAAATGTTCCAACACACCAGTAGGATCCAGTAAGTTATTAGGAGAACAATAGCAATCCTGAAATCCTTGTAGATTTTTAGGAAATCGTAATTGAGTAGCTAATTTTAACAGCTTTGGTGTATGCCCACTAAAATGGGCGTCTCCCTCCCTGGGGTATTCCATGAGCATTCTTTCAGAGTGGAAATGGCTGTAGGAAGTGTGGTGTGGGCCAGCTCAAATAGGCCAAGTGAGTTGCTGTTTCTACCTTGTGGAATGGTCTTCAGGTCTGGCCAGAAAAAGGATAAAGAAAACCAGTGAGCTCAATGTCCTGCAATATCAAGTCAGAAACAAATGCCCTTGGCTGCCCGCTTGCCTTCAGGGTGGGTATTTGTTGGTAATAATAAAAGCTGGGAGGGAAAGCCTGGATTTGAGGGGGTTTTTATGGAAGTTCCAGCACACACTGGTTTACAGAGTCTTTCTTACTCAGAAGTGTGAAGGGAACAATTTTTGCTGCATACTTGTAAGCAAACTGAAATGAGGGTGTGTAGTGCCCAGGAATTCACTCATTACTTGAAATAGATTTCTGTTCAGACTGGTGACACCTTGCCTGCTCAGGGTCGCCATCAACTCAATGCAGCAGTAGTTTGGAGTTTCTTGGAGAGAGTGGGATACTAGTTGTGTATTGGACTGATCATCTCTAGGTCAGCAGTTTGAAATCACCGGCCACCCTGAGGGAGAAAGATGAGGCTTTCTACTCCTGTAAAGAGTTACAGAATTGGAAACCCACAGGGGCAGGCCAGTTCTACCCTGTCCTAGAATTGACTCCCTGAGGGAGAGCTATACTGTGGCTGGGGCAGCTTTCCAAAAGGTTGGAGGTTATCAGTCCACCTAAAAGTACCGAGGAAGGAAGAACTAGAAACTTACTTCTGAAAAAGTAGCCATGGGAAAAAAAATTCTAAGGAGCATAGTTCTATGACACACATGGGATTACCATGAGCTGGAATCAAATCAATGACAACTGACATTTATTGGTTATACTTTTTATTAATTTTCCTTTTCCTGTTGCCACATAAGGAACGCTGGTGGCACAGGGTGTTAAGTGATGGTCTGCTAACCGCAAGGTCAGCAGTTTGCACCAGCTGCTCCATGGGAGAAAAATGAGGCTTTCTTCTCCCCTAAAGAGTTACAGCCTCAGATGAACCACTCAGGACCAGGGGTGACAGTGGCGATACCAGGAGGGAAGGGGGGTGTAGAAAGGG